AGTAGGCTATTTCTAAATCACAAGTACAGTACTTGAGTATACAAGTTAGCCTATTTCCCACCTCTGGTCAACAATGTTAGATCTTTATGTCAACTTACTAATAATATATCTTGAGTATTATCATAAAAATAGCACGTTTATTTATTTTAACAAACCACGTTCTCTAAGTAAAATCTATAGAACATATAATGTTTAATCTTTTTGAAAAATATGATCGGACCATCAGTAACAGATCATCAGTCTTGTGTACAGATCAGTCCGATAAAGTCATGCCAAAACAGCGACATTTTACGCGATAAATACGGGTTTAAATATCAGCACGGAAGGCGAGTGGCAGCTACCGTAAACCTTCTCTTAACTCTTAACTTGTGGCATATACTTACCACGGCAAGTTGTGGCATATATAAGTTGTGGCATATACTTGCCACGGCAAGTTGTGGCATGGTTGTGGCATATACTTGCCACGGCAAGTTGTGGCTGTGGCATATACTTGCCACAGCTACCACATCTGTGGCATATACTTGCCACAGATACCACGGAGTAGCGGCCTCCGTGGCAGATGCCGGAAGTACTTGCCACTGCCCGCAGATGCCACGAAATGCGCTTGCTGTCTCTCCAAGATTGGCCATTCGGAGCAATTTGGGTTTTTTAAGTGTCTTGCACAAGAATACATTTTGACAACAGGGGCTTCAGTCATACTAGACTGTTATTTTTCCTCATATTTTCATATTATGTCAATTTCTGATATTTTTTGTAATACTATATTATGACTGTTTTTGACACACTTTACCATTTTGTCTTTTCAGATAATTTTCAACATAGGCCTACTATATTATGTTGTTGTTTCTGATATTTTCGACATAGGCCTACTAACTATAGTATCAAAAATGTTATATATATTTTTGACAATCTATACTTTGTTGTTTTTTCTCATATTTCAATCAAAGGCCAACTATCAGAGAAATGTATCATAAGTCTCCTTTAATTATATATAGGTCACTAACTTTGATTTTCTCACGCCTTCAACAGACAGAAGGGTGTCATCTCCATTGTCAGGCATTTATCATATGGATGTTAGGTTTGTTTGTCTGATCACCATTTCAACTGTTTATTTTTCCTGTATTAAGTGCTTGCCTTTTAGTTTTAACTTGGCCAGATCATTGTACTACATTGCTGGTGCAAGACTCTATCCTTCAAGCTGGAATACATTGATTATGTTGAATGCTTTAACTCTTCATTGAATAACACAGTTTGTTTTAAACTTGTATATTTGTTGATTTCTTACCGAAGGGTGATTAATTGTGGAGTTTCGACCACACTATATTATTTCCTTTTTTTAATGTTTTTTTCATACTACACTTGGACGTCTTTTCTCATATTTTCGACATACTATGACTATGTGTTGACATACTATACAATGTCATTCTTTATGAAGTATTCTGCATAATTTCGAAATATCGATATTTTTGATAGACTGAAGTAATATTAAATGTATGGACAACATAAAGTATTACAACGTCGAACAGTGACAGGGACTTTATAATGCGACATATTTTAACTTTCTTTCTCCACACACTCTACCATAATTAAACAAATGTGCAGTACATTAAAAGGTGACTTAATTATCACTGATTTTCCATAACCATGGTCACAAACACTACAATGCGTCATCCTACGCTGTGTGTTCGATACCTGCCATGTTCGATTGTTTTGGACTACAGACAAGATGGCCGCCGTCTGTCAGCCGTAATCATTCTCATACTCTTGATATTTTCTGATGAAATTAGCTCATATTTGAAAGTTCCTTGCGAAAATGGGGTTATCACAGAGTTCAGAAGTATCCGAAGGAGGAACCTATGGATACCACGTGCATGGCGTAAGACGTTATTCCTCTTTCTTTGATTTAGGACAGCGTGTACAGCAGCTTATCATGACTGTTACTATATGCTAACTGGGAGCTAGCTGATGCAAACCCCACCGGTTAAACCCGATGAGCTGGCACTGTTTACTTATTGACCATGCCACATAATCTCCTAGATACTAGTGTAATTCTGTAGTAAATATGGTTAAATGAGGCTTGTAACTTGTTTTATATAATGTCCACCAGCAGAATGGGGTTAGTCCCCTGATAATTACCCTACATGATTGTTTTTTTAAAAACCGTAGTCATAGTAGCATAATTGCTAAATATTAGCTAATGCTCTGACTAATATAGCTAATGTTTTTCAGCTTGATGGCAAATAAAACAAGATGCATTTTCACTAGCCTCCGATCCTCTCCTTACTAAAACCCTTTCTTTAATCCCGTTGCATGAAAAGTATATTTACAGTAAATAACATTAGTGCTGATATGATTATTCGATTAACTAAATAATAAACAAAATCGATGCATCGATCGAGAGGGCGACCAAGCGATAATACCCAACATTTGGTATTTGAAACGTTGGTGCTTTTCTGTTATTTATATGCTTGTAATTGAATATTTTGACTGTAAGGCTGACCAAACCACCATTATAAGGAGACTTAAAGATGAATATATAAATGATTAATCCATAATAGAGAAATCCCTATTTGCAGCTATGAACTTTGGGAAGAAATAGATGATTTACATGCTCCAAAAACAATATTATGGTTTTGTCATCATTTTCATATTTAGACAATTCCAAGTTATATTCTAAAAGCACAATTATTTTGGTTTCCACAGCTGCAGCCAAATTCCCCAGCAGAAAAGGCTGGACTGCAGCCCTTCTTTGATTTCATTCTGTCTCTGGACAACAAAAGACTTGTAAGTTTATTGATTGTCCACTTTTGAGTAGTTATGTCCCTTGTCATACAGGTTGGTCATTAACAAAGACTGCACAGACATACAGAAGCATAAAATAATAACTATTTTTGACTCTTCACATCACCAGAACGAGGAGAATGACCTGCTGAAGGAGATTCTGAAAGCCAACATGGAGAGAGCTGTGGGTATGGTGGTGTACAGCACCAAAACCACGAGCGTCCGTGAGCTGGAGGTGGTGCCCAGCAGCATGTGGGGGGGACAGGGCCTGCTGGGGGCCAGCGTTCGCTTCTGCAGCTACCATGGAGCCAACGAGAACGTCTGGCATGTTCTGGTGAGCTTCTTCATCAAGAAATAGGAAAACCAAACCAACTGTCCGTACAGATTTGAACTTCAATACCCCATTATAGCTCCATCTTCAGTTTACTAACGCCTGTTAATGCTTTCCTGCAGGATGTGGAAGCTAGTTCTCCCGCTTCATTGGCCGAGCTTCAGCCTCACAGTGACTACATTGTCGGAGCGGATCAAGTGTTGCAGGATGTAAGAATCATTTTTATATAATGCTTACCTTTTTTTAAACTGATAATCATTTGTAAAATTCATTGTATCTTTTAACAAAGCTGTGAAAGATGGCTCGTGGTTAACTTCTTCTGCTGATTTCCAGTCAGAAGACTTCTTCTCGCTGATCGAGGCCCATGAAGGGAAGCCTCTGAAGTTGATGGTGTACAACACAATTTCAGATGCCTGCAGAGAGGTGGTGGTCACACCAAACGGAGCGTGGGGGGGAGAGGGCAGGTACGTGAGAATACACAGAAACATGCTTTAGTGACTGCTTTTGTACTATATGTCAATCAACCATTGTGAGGGAACAGAGAGTAAGCAGTCCATTATTTAAAATGAAGATTACCTCAGATCATACAGCGTTATTCTGTTTTCTTTCTTAGTTTGGGTTGTGGCATTGGGTATGGCTACTTGCACCGGATCCCAATAAATCCTGAGGAGACGTCGGCGGAGCCTCCCACCTCTACTCCTGAGGCGGAGCCTGCTCCGGAGCTGCCGACACATGGATACACAGAGGTCCATCTGAGTTCACATTAAGTCATTTTTTACGAATCTATTGTTCTATTTCCAATTACGTGAAGAATTATCAAGAAAAAAATATTTCCAAAATGTTTTTGATGTCACATTTGAACCGAGAAAACCAGCAAATATCATAGCATGTATTCTAGATATATTGCTTATGTCACTGCTTTTTTTTTATACACAAGATTAATCTATTGGTAGAGGCAGGGCTTACATATTCTTCATCTGTTTTCCAGACACCTTTGATGGCACCTTCAAGTCTAAGTGAAGACGTGTTAGATCTGGAGAAGATCACCCTCGATGAGGCTCCTCTACCTCCACCCGTACAGAGGGTCATGGACCCTGGTCAGTTTCCTTAATAGGATAATGATATACGTTGTGTCTTGCGTGTCTCCCTGGAATCTTATTGATTTTTTTTCCTTTAGGTGTCTCATACACTGAGGCGGCAGTTGCTACCCCTAATCCGGCAGATTTGGTGGACAGACTGGATCTGTCCGTGTCTTCTATCGACATGACCAACAATTTACTGGCCATGCACGAGGAGAAGGACGAGGAAAAGGACAAAGAGAAGGACGAAGAGAAGGACGAGGAGAAGGACGGGGACATCTCTGGCGTTGGTAAGTTTGGGCCAACATCATCCAAAGTTTCCTGGAGAAAAAAACTTGGGCTGAATGGATTGGGAGATAAAAAAAAGTTAATCATTCAGTCCAATATTTTTAACCAAACACCTTCCTATCAATATGGCAGATTTTACCATTTACTACATATTTACAAATTGAGAATATGATATAAATAAACATCACAACTGTGGAATTAATGACTAAGTGGGTAAAGACAAGTAATAGTACAGCTGAAAAAAAGTCAACAAATGACATCACTTAGGATATTACATATGTATTACAATATCTTGTCTCGTATCACAGTATAGATATAATATCCATGAGCGTCGCAGCCATGATATGAGGGTGGGACAAGTCCCCCCCACCTTTTTACAATGATTAGTTTAGACCCCCTAACTTTTACTATGCGGAAAGTCCGTGAATCGGTCTATCCACTCGCCGCTCTCTGTAGAGCGTTGTGTCAGTGCTTGATTATCAAATCCATTCCACTTGCTTATTGAGAGAATGCCCAAATCAATGAAACTCCGTACCATGTTTTCACTGCTACTTCGTACCAAGGCAGATTCTCAGAGCACACATGAGCCGTACAAATGCTGCGTTTTTTTGTGTAGCTGTGTCTTTAGTTGTAAAATTATTTCCACGCTGCGAGGCTCCGGCGCTAACAGTTCACGAGCATGCTCCACTAGCACCATAAGGCGCTGTTATTAAAGAGGTGGAGGGAGAGTCCTCTCCTGTCAGACTGAGAGGCTGATAACTACAGCTCAGTGAGGTAAAGGACTCTCTGAGTGTTTAGATAGATAACTTTAGTCTAAGTAGTGGGTCTCAAACGGTTTGGTAATCATTTATTAAAGGTCCCATGTCATGCTTTACTGGTTATTACCCGTCCCCTTGTGTGTTATGTAGCTTTTTATGCATGTAAACGTTCTGCAAAGTCACATACCCTCAAAGTACACCCTTTCGCGAGTAAAACTCAAACACTGGAGATTTCTGTTTTTCTTCCTGGTACTAATGGCGTATTTCCACTACAGCGCGGTTTAAGCGTACCGTGCACGGCCCGTTTTTGGTTGCGTTTCCACTTGGCGTAGTACCGGCTAGCGGGTATTATTTCACAGTTTTTCTGGCCCCATAAAATCGAGGTTCTTATGGCGCATTTCCACCATGGCGCGGTTTAAGCGTGCCGTGTCGGGCCCGTTTTTGGTTGCGTTTCCACTAGGTCTAGTTCCGGCCTGGGGCTACTTTTTCACCTTTTTTTCTGGCCCGACAAAATCGTGATTCTATAGGGGCCAACAAGCGGGCCAACAACCGGGCTGAATGTGTTAAACTAGTGAGCGAATCGCTGGCAAGGGGGCTACAACTACAACAAGATGAACATATTTGACCGTGATTTAATTGTAATACACGTTTCAAAATGATGCCGAAGTAGCAAGATACTGTTACCGGTTAGTAAAAACCATGAATTAATGCTTTGACAAGTCTGCAGACAGACGGCAGGCGAAATATCTTTTAAAATGCGTGTTGTCTAAATGGAGATCGGCTAAGCTAACGCACTATATGCTCCGACCGTCCACACTCACAACAACGGCCTATACAGACTAGATATACCAGCGACTGTATTCGCAATAGCCGCGTTCACACCGGAGTACTTTTCCCACTTTAGTTCCGATATAGTTCCGAAATGTCGCGTTCACACCAAAAAGAGCCGGAACTAAAATTAGTTCATGAGAACCTTTTTACCCCCTTTTCCGTCCCACTCTCATGCGGCTCTCTTGTGAGAAAAGAGCTATATTTCTAATTGGCTGGGCGGATTGCAAACCACGCCCCGTAAAACAAAAAAAAAGTGTTGTGAAGCCACCATTTTATTATTCTCGCATTAGCATTAGCCCAGCGCAGAAACGCAGAGAGACTAACTTATGGCAACACAAAATAAAAC